CAAAAATATAAAGAAGGAGTATGTAAAGTCGTCGGGAAAGACGGTTCTTCCGAAAGAAAATGTGAATGCTCAAAACCTGGACGGGGTTACCGATGCTGAATTTCAACCTACAACTTGGAGATTCCTTAATATTGATTAATTTAATAGATAGAATAAATCATCGTCAATAAAAAGGTTTGATTAAAATTTGGTATATATGTTTGTTATCTTGTCTACGGTCCATATTTTGTTTTGACGTGTTTTATTATTTGTTTTAGCTTTGTTTTATCTCCCTTTGTCTTTACATTAATTTTTTATATATTTCAAGTCTAAATGTATAATGTAGTAAAGATTGATGGGATTGTGAAAATTTAAAAAAATGAGAAAAAAAAACAAAAACTTGGAATAGAGAATGCAAAAACTCATAAACAATATAAAATTTTGTTATTGGCCGGGGATTATACGTAAATAAAAAAGTTTTAATCGAAAATTAAATTTGTTGAAGAACTAATTGTTGTTCCAGCATTCCAGCATTCCAGCGTTTCAAGCCGTATTTGCTGTCCTTCCTCCATCGTAAATATTGGTAATAGTGTAATTCGTTTTGCTTTACATCCAAGATCCCGACTCAGATACTATTACTCATGTCTTTTCACTAGTCGGATCTTCCAGATTCACGCTGCCCTTCACTTTCGCCATTCTCCACTCTTTTCTAGCGTTTGTCACTTTGTCTTCACTGTTTAGTTCACCATAATTGTTACTGAGAAGGGAGAATCCTACTCTTCCATCCTAAATGTTCTCTGACATTTCTCGATGCACTAATACATAAATTTAGAAAAAAAATTAGATCATTCGTAAAATAAATATAATACATAAAATTTTAAATAGTGTTTCCGATAAAATAAATATATATCGTAAAAGAAAAGTTTTGGTGAAACATATGCAGTAAATATCTTAGGATGCAATTATTGAACTTTTCTATTTTTTTGTTGTTGTATATATAAGGTTTATATAGAGGTAAAAAAAATAGAATTTTTTTTGTGTGATTAATTTGCTTAATCTAAATGGAAAAAAAACTACAGAAGTTTTTCTTCTTTTCTACTAATTTTGTTTTCAGGATATAATTTTTTTTTATTTTTTTTAGTAACTTTACCTTTTAAGATCATGCATGAATTTGTTATTAAATTTTTAGAATTTCTATGCTTTTTATTAATTGATTATAAAACTTTTTCAACTTTGACTTGAAACATGTTGTAATCAGGTGAGTTAGTAACTTTAGGCTTTGAATGGAATGCAGAATAAATGCAGAATAATTGCAGTTAAACTGTATTTAAAATGATCTGCAATTTTTTACCATTCACAGATTAAAAATTAATATAAAATTGGAAAATCTGCATGCAGATATTTACTTGCCTAAAAACCAAAGAAAAAAATTTCTCCCAAAACTGCTCTAAAATATGAGCAGTCCACCCAGTTCTGCATCCAGTTCTAATTTATTTTTTTAATAATATTTTTTTAATCTGCATAAATTGATCTGCATTGCTACCATTCAAAGCCATAAAACATTCAGTTTTATATAATAAAAAGATTTTTTTTATTCTAAACTGAAATATATATTTTTAATAAAATGTTTTGCTTTTTATTCATTTTCTTTTTAAGATTTTATATATTGTTTAATTTTCTTATTCTAATCTTAAAGATGTTTTTCTTTCTTAATTTTTTTATTTGTAATGTAAGTAAAAATTTTGGTATTTGATTTCTAGTTTTTAATGATTTAAAAAATGTGACTTACTATTCTTCTTTAACTTACATAACTACTGTGACTTACTCTTCTCCTCTAGCTTATTTTGTGATTGCTTTGAGTTAGAAGTTGATTTTTGTTTGACTCCTCTAACTTACTTAAAAAGTGTAATATCCCTATCCCCTACTTCCTAGAAAGGTAGAGAATCGGCATGCTAGGTTGGTAATTTAACCCTATTCAGTTAAATACTTGGTTTCGTCCCTTGATGACCCTCAAGTCTGCCAGGAAGAAAAATGCCTAGGTAACAACAACAACATATACTTAATGCTAATCCATCAAACCTGAAAGAAACAAAGAGATGAAGAAGGGGTGAATAATGGGGATAACTCAGTGAGGATAACCTTAAAGAGGCTCACAATTCACCATGTAACAGTACATGAGTTAACCCTATGAAAGTCTAATCCTAAAACAAGCTCAAGTACATGAGTTAATCCTAATTCTATTTTTTCCCAAAATTAATCATCAACTCAATTTTCAAACAAGAGAAAAATACTCTACAGAAGATGACACCTGAATCCAAATCTTTCCCAAGGACAGATGACCTGCCACCCATGTCACCCGAATCTAAATCTTCCCCAAAGACAGACAAAACGGTCTTGCCACCCGTGACACCCAACCCTCCTATAATTAAGACTCGCCAGTCGATCTGCCACCATTCTTTAACCAGGTCACATAGACAATCTTGAGGTTTGACATAACCTCTCGACGTTGTATACTGCTGACACAGTCACACAGAGGTCACACAGAACCAACAAGCAAGCCCGACCCTTAGGGGTCTCCTGTGGCAGGTTCCTAAACAGTTCTAGTATATCAGTATCCTTAACAATCAACAATTAATACTAGTTTTAATATTAATTCTTCATTCATCTAGTATGCACATTCGATAACAAGTTATAGAAAGAAGATATTTAAACAGGTTATCAAACAATGTTCCATAGTTCTTAAATCCATATTCTATACTTTTCTCCCAAACAACCATCAATCATAAATGAATAGCAAACCCTAACCAATATCTACCATATTATAGCAATCAGATCTAAGCTTTGGTTTAAGAAAAAGCTAACTACAATTAAAACTTGCATTTGAAAGAGAGGATGAGAGCAGCAAGTTCTCACTTTTGCCTTTTTGAGTTACAAAGAAGCATTGAAGCTGGTGTGAGCAACATAAAGACACATTTGGATATTTATTTGGATGAACGGAGGCTAGCGTGAAGTTCTTTTCCAGATTTGGATGTTTTGAGCCACTGAAAAGATAATCAACATCGACTTATAGAGGTTTAGGTGAAATGACATGTGATTTTCTCACAATTCCAATTACACTAATAGCATCAGAATCAGCTTTTAGCATTGGAGTTTGAAGTTTGATTTTGTACAGAAATCGCTTGCTTTCAAAGAAAATTCAAGTTTTAATCTAAACTCGCAGTTGGCGATGTGGTTTTGCAAAATATGCAGGTAAAATTTTAAGATTTACAAAAAAAATATTATAGTTAAAAGTTCTTTTAAACTAATTGGCACTTTGAATTGTCGGCACCATAGAGGATACTAATGAGGCTAACATTGAAGATGCTAGAAAGAGCTGAGTAGCTCAGGAATAGAAGGAAAAAAATCAAGAGATTCGTTGGCTAAAAAAAAGATCAAGAGATTCAAACATGCCATGAGAACGTAACAAAGGTATTTCTGAAATCTTTTTGTGTTTGAAACTTGTTTATAAATTATCTTGGTTGATGAATTAAGTGCTATTTCTGAATTTTATTTGCAGTTTAGGCTGAAGAAAAATATTAAGTTTGAGTCCAAAATGACCTCTACAAACATTTCTTTTATTTTGTGTTTTTAAAACAAAACGTTTCTGTTAGATTTTGTATTGGATTTTGCTATTACCTATGAAGCCTATTGGATTTCGTTGATGATGTGTACTAGTTTTTTCAAAAAAATTACAAGATTGCTTTCTTTCTTTAAAACATTATTTTCAACAAAATATGTAAATAAAAAGGTAACATCTATCTATATTATTAAAAGTGATACACATTTGAATTCTAGAGAGAATATTTTAATTATTGCATCCAAACATTCTAGGTTTTTTAGAAATTCTGTTTGGAAACTATTTTAATATTAACTTTAACAAGAAGTACTTTATATTATGATAAGTTTTCTGGATAAAATCTGTTTCAGTTAACAAAAAAATCAAATCAAATATTAATAAAAAATGGATTTTATCTTATATTTATAATTAATTTCGAAAATTCTAATATTAATTTAGATTATTTAGAATTTCCTCAAATCTAGGTAATATATTACTTATCAAAAAAATTCAAAAATTACTTTTTAATGTATCTTAAAAAATAGTGAATAGTTTAGAGTTAATTTATATATTCAAATTTATATTATACAATAATAAAAATGCACAAATTAGAATAATATTTTTATAATCAGTGATCTTTACGGATTGGTTTATTAAAAATAAATTTGAGGCATGAGTTAACTCATTTAACACAATATATATATATATATATATTAACACTATATAAAATTTTATATATATAATTAGTTGTGTAGTAATATATAGATTCACATAACAAAAAAAAACTTTCCCTACGGAAGCGTGGGTTAACAATCTAGTGCATTTTAATTTTAGGACATAACTCAAATGTAACATAAAATGAAAAAAAAAAAAACCTAAACGAACTGGTTTAAGCACCAGGGAAATCAAACTAAGTGGGCTTAAACAGGTACAAATATATACGAGCTTAAACGGGTGGCCTCGTTTAACATTTAATAGTAGAGTTAATGTTTAAATGTTAATCTCCTTTAAGCTCCTTTAAGCTCCTTTAATAGTAGAGTTAATAGAATATTTTAGTTATAATGTTTAAATGTTAATCTCCTTTAAGCTCTCCTTTAATCCCCACGTTCAAACTAAGTGGGCTTAAACGGGTACAAATATATACGAGCTTAAAGGAGATTAACATTTAAACCTAAACTCTACTATTCAAAAAAAAATTGTATATTGCTATGAAAATATATCGTGATTTTTATTTAGTTTTTAATAAAATTTTCCATTTTTTCAACAGCCTATAATATTATAACAATGAAATTTATAAAAACAAAGAAAACCGACCGATATATTTTTTGTCAGGATCTACATCTTTGATCTTTCGATTCAATTTCTAGAATCCCTAAACCGAGAAACCTAACACAAAACTGAACCTGGCTCACATAAGTCTAGATTCCTAAACCATAAACCATTCATCATGAACTTCTCCTTTGCATAAAGATTTTTGGAAAAGGCAAACTGAGGTCTTCGTTGCTGCTAGTTCGTGATCGTGAGGAAGTGGCTGACTTGAAGCAACCGGCTCAGGCTCCAACCTCAACTCTTTAAGACAGGTCTGGATCTGTGTCTGCTCTATTTCATACCTGAATATATCGTTAACGATACAGAAGCCGGTGTCTTGCTGAATTAGAAGAAACGTTTGCGTAAACTTGTTACCAACGTTGTCTCTCTTCTTTGTCAAGTAACCTTTGACATATACAATAACATAACCATGTTCCATAGGATATGGTACACCAAGTGAAGTTTCAATCTCGGCGGTGAAATCTTCGAATCTCACAGCAAGAAACTCATCTTTCACCTCTTCCTTAGTCCAAATAGTTTTTTTGACATGTGTTTCAGGATAAAGACGGTTAAACAGACAGTAATCACTGTAGAACATATGAAGAAACTGAGGTGATTCGTTAAGAGTTTGATAATATTGCTTCACAAAGGCACGACTAAAAATCTCTGCATAATTAGTCTCCTCCTCTGACATATCTCCAGGGACTGAGAGAGATCTGACGACAGAAGTTTTGAGAACAGAATAAATAAATTTCCAACTAAATTTCAAAAACTGACTGAAGAATGATTTTTGACCTAATTTCTCCACCACTTTATATAGTGATGAGGACTCTCAAATCAAACTAAATCCTAATCCTTCTCGACTTCTAACTCCTAAACCATATTAACTTTAAAGAAGTTACCTATGATTTTGTTTATATTTGGACTACCAACCGGTTTTACCTACTCGGTCCAAAACTTAAACCGGTTTAGAAAAGTCATTTGATCTGGTTTAGTGAACCAAATCCGATTTTTTTTTTTTTTTATAATGTAAATCAAAATCTTCAACCTAAGACTTGAAGGTGGATCATAAAACTCATTGGAGATGATGAAGGTGACCAGAAAACTTCCTCTTAAACGGTCAATGACTAAAGTCAACATTCAACACCGTTATGGGTTTTTTCAGGCTCATGTTTAAGGGTTTGTTTCAAGTTAACTAAAACCATATATAATCCTATAATTTGTATAATTTAGATGATGAAAAAGGTTGAACTTGGGGTTAAAACCCCTTTAAACTTACTTTAAAACCCAAGAAATTATGTTCTTGGTTGAGCTCTTTTATGGCAGTAACTAGTAACTTGCTTGGTTGAGCTAGCTCTATGTAGGGCTGGAATTATTATCCGGTATCTGTTATCCGATCTGGTATCCGATCCTATCCGATCCGTAAAAATCGGATATTCGTGTAGTTCGGATCCGGATCCGGATAGTGAAATTAAGTATTCGGTTATTTCGGATACGGATCCGGATAATAGAAAATTTTAAACTCGGATATCCGTTATCCGTTATCCGTTTATTAAGATTTTGAAAATTTTGAAATCTTTGGATATGTATTTAATTTTTTGTTTTAATTATGTTTGAAAATTGTTTTTGGTTTAACTCTTTTACACATGATTGAAATTTATATTGCATGATAATTTTCTATTTCAGATTGTGAGAGAAGACCATGAAAATAGATAACACAAGGATATGAAGATAAATTAACTTCTCTATTACTATTTTCTTTTTTGCTATGTAAATTTTTAAACTTTGTATTATTTGAATGCTACTTGAATGCTTTTAAATTTTTGGTATTTGTAATTTTTGCTATAATGATATATTTTAATTATATATGTTATCTCATTATAATTTTAAAAATTGAAGTTTTTTTTTAAATCAACGAAACCGGATATCCGGTCGGATATCCGTAAATCTTCGGTTCAAACCGGATATTCGGTCTCCGGATATCCGGAGTTTTCGGATCCGGATTCGGATAATAAAATTGATTATCCGTCAAATCCGGAGCCGGATCCGGATACTTTGAAAAGTCCGGATATCCGGCTCCGTTCCAGCCCTAGCTCTATGTATATAATATACAATACTTAAATATATATATATACCATATTGAATAAACGTTTAATAAATAATTTGAACAGGGCTAGCGATAGTTTGAGACATTATATTTAGGTACAATCATAATTTTTCTGTTCTTCTTATATTAATTAACAAACCTATAGCTACATATGGAACAAATTTTACTTAAACGTCCCAATGGTACCTACCTTCCTTTCACATTTCTTCTCCTCTTTTACTTTTTTTTTTTCTTCTCCTCTAGTCCATAAGATCAAGAACTTCCTTTGTTCTTTGATCTTTTGTCCAAACTCCAATCTAGGTTTTAAACCTCGATACCTTTTGCTCCTCTATGGCTATTCTTTTACATTCCTACACTATAATGCTTGTAATTTTGTGTAACAAGCAGTATATGGACACTGTCCATCATGCGAATTGCGATCATCCAAACCCTTGAAGATCACAAATGAGAGAACAAAATAATAACCATAACTATATATTTGTATCAAACTTCCTACAACAATCTACTTACAAAGATTTGATTTCCGACCATTCCCCAATCTTTAACCGTCTATACTATTTTTTCCCACCAAATCCATGAGAGCATGTTTGCGTTCCGTCCTGGTCGTAGGTGAAAAAAGCGGTTTAGTTGTATGCCCACACATGATGAACAGAGATCAAAAACGACAAAGTTTTCTGTCGTTTCCCAAACATTTCAATCTCTCATGTCCCACTTGTCGTTTGTCTTCTGCTCTTGAGTACGATTGGAGCCACCAGCATCCAAACTATCACAGTATTTCATCAAACAATACATTAAAGATCTGTCTCGCAATCTCAGAGTTTTGAGGATGAAGCCTTCAAAATGTGTCTTATGATTCAATTCTTTTCACTTACTGTATACGCAAACCGCAAGCCACTCGTTCACAATCCTTACCCAAGTACTCGTCCATCCCACATCAATCGTCCACCTGAATACAAAAACAAAACAATATAAGTTTGAGTTCTCAAACTTTTAAAATACATACAAATTCTAAAGAAACACTCTCACTAGTTTATGCATTCAATGTATGTATAAAGATATTTAAGAAAAACTTTACTTTTTCATGGGGTGATGAGTATTCCATCCGATGAGTAGCATAGCGAAGTACATTGCTCCTGTGGCGAAAACAAAGTGGAAGAAGCCATATCCATATGGAACACCATCTTCCTCTTCTTCTTCTTCTTCTTCTCCTTGATTGTTCTTATCTTTCTTGAATTGGAAACATTGAGAGTCTATTCCCGTAGAAAAAGTCGCAATAACCATTGCAAGTAGTGCAACCACAAAGCTCTGCGCAACGTTATATTTCAGAATCAAAACATACTACTTTTAGATGAAACAAATAGTTGAGAGATTAAAAAGAGTTTACAATGATGGTAAGCCAGTCTGTTCTGTCTGAGGCTGCTGCTTTTCTGTTGCAACTTTCACCCACTGGTTCACTGCACAACATTTTTTTGGAGATAAATCAATTCACAATTATAGTCTTTTGCAACATAAAATAGCTCTCCACTAATAGTTCAAGAATCTTAAGAAAACAGAGAAATAAATGAAAAAAAAATAACATACCTTCTAATGGCGCACCAACAGATAAACACAACATAGAGTCCCATAAGAGCCGGAGTCAAGTAACCAGCATTAACCTATTGGAGTTGGCAACCACAATAAAAACCTTTATAACTTCAAACATTTAAACGTACACACTCATGAAACAATGAAGGATACTAATGGATAACTTACTTTAGGATGGAGAGCGATGCTTGTCATGAGCTGAATGAGGAACAAAGTCCAAGTTATGAAGAATATATTGAGAAGACATGAAGGATCTGGCGCGTACCATATATACATCAGAATCAACCCAACTATACACACTGTGTATGAAGTAGTTGCTAGTAGCATCACATGGACATGGCTACAAACATGAAGAGTGTGTTGTTGCTTGATTAGTAATAAACTTCAAGAAAAAAAGAAAAAACTAAAACTTCCATGTGTATTCAAAACTAACCATCGTTCTGCATCTTTTTGGGATTGATAGCATTCGTTGAGCCATGTAATGAAACTGATTACACTAATTAGTTGTATCAGTAGAAATACCCTATAAAGAAAACAACAATTATAAGCTTTGGGATTTTCACATCATATATACATTTTGTTCAGTTTAGGGACAGATCAATCTTACCCTGCACCAAAATGGGCAATCTCTCCTGCAAATTACACCAAAGAAAAGAAAACGTTTTTGATTACTCGTCATGCCAGTTGAATTAGAGAAATTATTATCAAAGGAACCTTTCTTATCAAGCCTTAATTATACCGTAAAGGCGAATAATGGTAGAAGGAAGCAAGAAAGGAATGATGGTTAAAGCAGGCCACATAATAAGCTTAGCAGACCACCATCCAGAATGCCATCTATCTCTTGACGAATGCGTTTTGGACGTCCCAAGTGTTGATAGAAACATAACGAAATAGAACAACTGAGGATTCATGGTTAAGCAGAAAACATTTTATGATAAAGTGTTGTAAGATGACTGAGTAAACATATAGTATTCAAGACTGAACCAAGAAGGATACAAAACATCCCAAGCTAACTCTTAAGACTCCTTCGGTCCCCAAACAGTTTGCTCCGCCTTTACAATTCTTGAATTCTGCAGTTTTAACAACAGAGGAGTTGTATCAGCATCGTTCAACTTGTAAGACAAGGAAACGAGAATGAAACCTGATTTAGTGGCACATACTTGTCACTTCTGTTAAGGCACGCCGACCATAATCACGAGCAGCCCAAGCTAGTAGATTCGCGATGAGGAATATCAGACCGTATACATATCTAGCCATCCATGGATTGCAGCCATTGCGGAACTGATTAAACCATGATCCATTCTTGATTGCTTCATAGCTCTCGTTTCTGCTGCTTCCGCTGTTGCCAACGCTGCTTGTACCGGTCTCCATAACTCTCTAAACTTACCAAGACTCTCTCCTCCTCTTCATGACATTAGAAGTTTGAAAAATTCAAGAAACAGATCATTCCATGGGGGAGGATTTTGCATCAGATATCAGTTTCTTAGAAATGATCAAGAACGCTAAAAAGGCTCAAGACAGGAGCGTGAAATCCGCCTTGTCGCTCTCTCTTCCTTCAGATCAAAACCTATGAAAATGAAAATTCAAGAATTTACCAAAACAGAGAAGGTAACAAGAAGACATAAGAGTGAAGCAAAGCATGAGAATCCAATTCCGTTATCAAAAAATAAACGAGATAAGGATCATACAAATCTAAGACGCAATTTGTAGTTTTGAAGAGGAAAAATTCATGTTTTACATGAGAAACATCTGAAGTGTATTCTCAAAAACAAAAATCACACAAAATCCGTTTTTTCAACAGAAAGCATCTCGTTTCTTTTTTGTTCTACCGAACATGACAGAGAATACGTACAGTGCAAGTAAACTCCTTGCCTTATTTTTGCCTAAACTAAAAAAGCAACCTTTATAAGCGTCAACGAGAATCCACAATAGATGGCTCATTTTAATCCAAGACTGCAACTTTGTATCTTAACCATGTGAATTATAAAGGGCAAAAAGATAAAACATACCAAACCTAAAAATCAAGCTAAAATCTGTGGACAGTCAAGAGTTCTCAAGACTTAAACCTCCCAAAGTCAAAGATTTGGCAAGAACTTAAAATCATGAAAAAAAGGAAGAAACCTTTTGGATAGTAACTAAAAATTTTTCCCTCATGCAAAAAGAGAGGCGTGGATAAACAAAGAAGCACCCAAAACAACTTTATTACATAAGGAAACAAAAGGTTAAGAGATCAAAAGAGAAAACGAAAAAGAATCAATATCTGATAGAGAGATATATAATGAAAAATCTGGAAGTTTATGTAAATGGGGACTCGAGAAAGAAACGTGTTGGTACGGAAACAAATGGGCAAACGAATCTTTTCCTTTTACGAATCTGAATGGGTTATGCTAAGCAGCAACATCAGATACCCTTTTTTGGGCTTCACAGGTCCACTTAATGGAGTGGAGACACATGCCTCCACTTAAAACTATTTGAAAGAAAAAAAGTGGGATGGTTGATAGAACTATCCACCCAAAAAATCTAATAAAGAAAAACGTCATCTACAAGATTGGGAATTTGGGATAACATAAATTATAAAATCTTTAAAGTCTCATTGCATTGAGATTGATATTCTCTTTACTTTCCCTTAAATCATCATCTAATTAATCTTAAACTTTCAAGTTGGGGTATTCAATCCCAATTTTGGTACGGTTTTGGTTTTTGTTTGGTTTGGGTTATCCTTTCTTTCTTTGTTGTTTTTTTTTAGTTTATAGTAACGAATGTAAACCCGAATCTAATGTAGATCGGTTTATGTGATTTTATGTTTGGTTAGAATGCAGCTTTTCATTTAAATATATTTTTGATTTTCAAAAGAATTTAAGTTTGGATTCGACTGTTTTTCCTTTTTCAGTTTGGTTTCTATTTTTCGAATATCTAAAACGTAAAACCATTTTAAACAAATAAAAAAAAAACTTCAGACTAAATTGTTTTGGTTTATCTGGATTACTCTTGTACTTCCGAGAAATGGACGTCATAAAAACATAGATTGATATATCCATTCTACCATGAACCTAATTTCTAAAATTTTAGAAAAGTGAATTTCACATATTAGGTCCATTATAAACGACCATTCTAACATGCTAACCGCGCTTATAGTGGATTGCTATTGATGTTTAAATTAAAATTAACAAAATTTTAAAGTTTTTATTTAAAAACATAGAGTTTAGAAAATAGTCTTTTTTGAACGAACAAAATAAATGATTCAGTAAATTGATGTTATTGTCCACCATATTGTAATACATAAAATTGTGCTCCTACAACTAAAAAAATAACAATAGAAAATCAAAACTGTAGGAATCCGGGGTTAATAGGCAAAGGCCCCGGACGTATGATTGCATAAGACAGATTAAGATTGACTTATCTAATGTTTAAAACTGATATAAAACGGATTACGGGTTAAACAAAGGCGGATTAACTTTGCTATGAAACTTCTATATATATCTATATAAGTAAGATTAAAAAATTTGTATATCTTGTGATCAATTATGGCTCATCTCATGTTTCCACGTTCATACACACTAAGAGACTAGGAGTAATGACCCATGGCCTTGCCATAATGAAATACATAATAATATGAAATCTAGAGGGACAAAATAATGGCAAATTCGACCCTAAGATGGATGTAGCATGTGAAGGAGTATAATATTGGCATTTGTAATCTATGTACATAGTAAATTTTATCATTAGAATGTTTACCCAAATTTTACTTGGGTATCTGGCCTATATTAGGTAGCCAAATCAGGTTCCATTTTAATATGGGCCTCATCAAATATTTCGTGCCAAAAAAGACAACTCTTGAAACCAAAAACAAATCGTTTTCGTTTCACCTAAATTAGATAACAAACCCCGAAATAACCAATCTTGCACCATGAAGTGAGTATTAAACCATAATACCTTTTTTTGTTAAAGACCATAAATCAGAAAAAATATATAATCACGTTTATGTATTTTTACTTTTTGATCAACAACATCTGCGAGTATGTTTTTATTGACTCCACACAGTCTTTTGTTTTGTGTTCTTTTTTGACTCAACGACGAGAAAATTAGAAGATTATTTAGCGGCCGCAGGAAGTGAGTTGGTTAGTAAAAGACGGAAAAAAACCAAACGTAAAACAATACTTAATTAATTAATTACACAAGTCAAACAACATTAATTTCTTAACGACTTAAATTTGACAAATAAAATAAATAAATAAACCGTCAAATAGCTTGTTCTCTAGGTTCTTACTTACTCTTATGTGTTTTCGGCATAAACATTAGCTAAACATGATTAAACTCCTAATTAAGCTTGAGTTACGGCTAATTCTTTTAGCAAAGTGAGATAATTAGCAGAAAGCAAAGAAGAAAAAAAGGAAAAGTGAGGAACGAGTGGGTCCCTCTATGTCTCTACCGATTATCTTTTGATGTTTCAGAACTTTGGATTCTTAGAAAACAGAGGAAAAAATTACGCGAAAACAGAGGAAAATTCGAATGAATTTTCATTTGATTGCATCACAGATTCACAGACTTTATTGCCATTTGCGTTTCCGAGAAAATCGCGAGACATATAATTAAGTATTAGTAATAAGTCATAACAAGTAAGAACACGCACATGTTTGTAAATCTCAGAGATCCAAGAAAAAAAAAAGAGGACGAAGAACAGAGAAGAGAGAGGAGAAACCTGTGATTGATCATGTAGAAGTTCTTGAAGCAAGATCAGATCTGGAGATAATGTGGAGAATTTTGTGTGTTTTTACTCCACAAGCTTCTTCTAATGTGAAATCAAATCAAACAAGAAGAAGATAAACAAAAATCTGAGAGAGAGAGAGAGAGAGGAATGTGAAAACGAAAAGAGAATTGTTTCAGGTTTTTTTAGAAAACAGTTCTTGTACTTATATACATACACAAGACTGCTTTTTTTGTGAAGATCTATTTTTCTGCTGATTTTTGTTTTCTTTATAATTTGTTTTATATTTTCTTTATTTCTTGCTTTCCCGCCGTTAGCTTCCTCTTTCCGCTACATCCTCTCGTATCTTTTTAAGAAAGAAAAACCAATAATAACAAAAATATATATATAACAATATATTTGATAAATTAGTAAAACAAGTAATAATAAATTAATAATCTGTTTCATAATTCTAAGGTGTAATTAATTATTGTTGAAAAAAATCTGTAATATGTTTTGGTTAGTTTCTTTCTAATTTAATGACAGTGGTTAGTCATGCATGGTATTAAAGTCATAACCAATATAAGTAATAAACATACAATTAATTACCAAAAATCATTAAACTATTAGGTCTGACTTCAGATTTGTTCTTTATAATTCTATTATCAGACGTGAACGTGCTCTGTGATAATTTATTGTTCCTTATATCTCGACTTTTTTCTTATTTTCTTGTGGTGTCAGATAAAATTAAATTTTTATTTTTTGGTATATAAATCTTTCTTCCGACGCTTATTGATTTTCTTAAGTTTTTTTAGGTTCCGTGGCAAACCATTCCAGTAAAAATAAACAAAATAAATAGGAAACTAAAAAAAAAACCTTACATATAAGAGTCTCATTATCCCAAATAGAAAATAAGATCAAACCTGTGACTTGTGAGCCTCAGTTTCAATTCACTGAGGACCTGGAGTTCAGATTGGAAGGCTGACTACTAGTTGGGATTCTTCACAAATGCATTCAATGCTAATTTTTTTCAACTCTATCACAATAAACATTATGTATGTATGAATGTATAAAGGCATGCATACTCTCACAGCGGTCAATAACCGATCACGAACAGCAAGCCATGTGATTGAAGAAAAAGTTTAGAACCCCTTGGGGAAACCAAACAATCCGACTCCAAACAACGCTTTGTCTCTCTTCGGTCTAAGTTGCTTCAAGATCATAGAGGCTGAGAACCACATGCTTAAATCATGCCACCAGATAGGGATGTTTCCTACCTGCGAAATGGAAAGCAAAAGAGCTTGTAGGATTCTGTTGAGAAGATTTGGTAATTGGCGACTCCTCCTAGCTGTAGTTAGATATGTTGAATTTTTTAACTAGCAAGGCATTTTTGTTTCATTCTTTTTCTCATAAAATTACGATCGATTTAAATGTTAATGTTACTCGTTATCTTTTATAATGTGGAGACTTTCTTAGCTTGTGGAATTTTAGGCACTACAAGAAGAATTAGAGTAAAGAGGAAATGAGTTCGATCCAAACAAAAAAAGAGTAAAGAGAAAATGAATAAAATGAAGAAAAAATATTTGAATAGAGAAATTTTATAAAGTAAACTGAAAAATACATAGAGAGAAAAAAAAAGGAATGATCAAAAATTACATCCTGGACCTAGTAAGATCATACAACGTAACTTTCTCTAACCAGGATATCAATTTCAATATTTGATAACTTTTATATAGTACTTGTCGACTGTTTTGAATATATGGATCATGAACATAATTATGTTATATATATAAAGTTCCAATAACTCTAATTTTGATGATGCCCTAACGAAATAGAAAGGTTCGCTCCAGACTCGTACTTTCTTGATAAAGAAGCAGAGATACTTGAAGACTCTCATTCTGTGTAATCTGATTAAAATCTAGTTCTTTCTAATTAAACTTAGAAAAGAAAAATTAGCTAGTAACCAGTGCCGTGCCTAGTTTTTTAGAGGCCTAAGGGCATCTCCAAGAGAGACTTCATTTTTGAAGATCCAGAAACTTCAAATTTGAAGTTTATTTGAAGTTTTAGCTGTTTCTCTCCAAGAGTGACACTTCAAAATAAACTTTAAAAACTTTATATTTTGCATTATAATCATTACTTTTCAGAATAATTAGCTAAACTCATTAAATAATATAAATAACAATAAAACACACATTAAAAAATTACAGATAATATTAATTAATTAAACATCATTAATATTATAAAAAACACACAAACATAATTAGAAATAGCAAAATAGAATACTAAATTATTCACTAACATTGTTTCTGTAATACTCCCATATATGATCAATCAATGTCTTTCGAAGTGATAAATGTGATTTTTTATTTTTTATTTGTAGATTACGAGCTAAAAATTGTTGAAATCGGGTATTCTCATTGACTGTCATTTCAACTGTAACCTCTGGTGCTGCTCTTGCGTCTTTAATCGGTGCGGTGATATCACATTCATCATCAATTATCATGTTATGCATTATAATGCACGCTGTCATTATATCATGCAAAACCTCTTTTTTCCAATAACGTGATGATTCAGCTATGATAGCAAACTTGAATTGTAAAACTCCAAATGCACGTTCAACATCTTTCCGGCATGCTTCTTGTCTTGCTGCAAACAATTTTTTCTTTGGACCTTGGGGATCGCTAACAAATTTAGACTCTATTGTTGATAGTAATATTCGTGAGTTTATTCGATCTGAACAAACAAAAATCATACAAAAAAGAACTCAAAAACAACAACAACTTCCAACTCCAAATATATATGGACAACATTTTGGTGGTCTTAGAGGTTCAGGATCAAATTTGCATGATTATTGGTATTGTTGTAGTATTTTAATTTGTGTAATATTTATGTGTGCTTGTAATTTTTTTTTAAGAATTTTATGTTGTATTAATAAATCTTTATAATAATATTATGTTTTATTTATATCTATTTGTAGTTTATTTTTTGTAATGTTTTTATGTGATGTTTTAATTTGAAGTTGTTTTCTTTAATTTGAAATTACAATTATAAAAATATATATGAAATAATTATCAGATATATTATAAAATTAAAATGATAAAGACACATAAATAAAGACAATATTTATAAAGATAGTTAATTATAAGGACTAAAATGCAATAAAAAAGATGAATCTTCAAATTTGAAGATCTGAATAGTAAAACTTCAAATATAGAGTGTCACTGTTTAAATCTTCAAAATTTGAAGATTTGAAGTCTCTCTTGGAGTGCATAAAACTTCAAATTTGAAGATATGAAGTGTCTCTTGGAGATGCTCTAAGGAACTTTGTATTTTTTTAACCACATATTTTCTATAAATTTTATTTATTAGCAGTATTACAAATTTTATTTCACAAAATTATAACTTCAGAACATTATTTTTATGTACTTAACATTAAATCATTTATTTAATTTTACATGTGTATTTGTAAATATGATATAAGTCTTTAAATGTAAAAGTTTATAATTTTTAGTTTAAAAGAAATCATGAAAACATACAATTTTGTTAAGAAACTTTCCTAGAATTATTAATCCTACAACTTAATCATACAATTTATCAACTAATAATGGTTAAACAAACTATACAATTAATTCAACCTACTAGATAATCTATTTGTATATAAAGATGTGGCCTTCAAGTATAGAAATTTGTTGGTGGCCTAAGAGCATCTCCAAATGCAACTTCAAATTTGAGGTTGGTCAAACCTCAAATTTGAGGTTTGATGATGTTTGTCTCCAAAGGCAAAACCTCAAATCTAATCTCATAAAATTTAAAATATCGTACTATAATCCCTACTTTTAATCATTATCAATAAAAATCATATAACTTTATAAATAACCGAAAACATACATAAAAAATATCACAAACCACAGAAACATTACATTATAAGATAAAATTACAAAAACATAATAATGAAAACACACAAACTAAATTATAAATGATTATATTTCACCAAATTATTCAACAAAACTATTTTCATAATGCTTTCAAATATGATCAATTTTAGTTTTAATTTCTATTTTTAATTTATTTTATATGCAAATATAAAATTTATAAAGATAAATGTATAATATTAATGAGATATAAAATTGTTGGATTAAAATGATAAATATTAAAAATAAAATGATTATTTATGAAATACATAATTTTAAAGACTAAAATGTAAATAAAAAGCTGCAACCTCAAATTAGAGGTTTTGAACAGTGAAACCACAAATATAAGGTTCTACTGTTCAAAACCTCAAAATTTGAGGTTTTAAAGTTGCCTTTGGAGTGAACAAAACCTCATATTTGAAGATTTGAAGTTGTCTTTGGAGATGCCCTAAGGCAAATGCCTTTTTTGAACAAGGGAAGGCATGGCTCTGCTAGTGACACACTTGGTAAATCACTGTTTCTGAAATCGACTTGTAGTTAGAGGACACTGCAAGGGTACCCTGATCATAAGTTTAGTTCAATAACAGAATCGATGACAAGTAATGTTGACACTTTTTTTTGAGAAAATAAGCAGTCATATCCTGAGATCCTTAATTATCGCTAACAAATCTCACATTACAAATCTTTTTGAAAATTAACAAAAGAGATCATCATCTCGATTCTGCTTATTATCTTTCTGATTGCTACTCAGGTATTTTGTCATGTATTTTGGATTCCTATTTGTAAATATGTGAATTCTCTGTTATGTTATACCATCGACCAAGTACAAGCTTATATACACATTAGCGGATAAAAGTAAATCCCTAACAAATGGGAGATCCGATCCTATCTATCCAAGATTTGATATTATCACAAAGAATATGCTAATGTGCTATCATTATCTCTAATACTCCTCCTCAAAGTGGTGCATAAAGGTCACGAACGCCCATCTTGCACAAAAGATATGTGAACTGTTGTCAGCCCAGTGACTTGGTTAGTATATCCGCCAGCTGCTCGGTTGTCTTAACAAGGCTAGTAACTATCGAACCATCCTGAACCACGTCACGTATGAAATGACAATCGACCTCAATGTGCTTCGTCCTTTCGTAAAAAACAGGGTTTGCATCAATGTGTAACGCCGCTTCACTGTCACAAAACAGAGGTATTGGCGTCTGCTGTTGAATGCCCAAGCTACGCATGAGCTCGATGATCCATTTAAGCTCACACAAAGT